GTTTGCTTCACTAAAATTATTCAGTTTAATATAATTATTTTTGTTTTTTTTTTTGAATGAATGCAGAAAATACTAGAGAACTAATGCAATTAGATGCTGTTGATGTCCAACCTATCTTGACTACCCAGCAGTTAAATTCTCAAAAATTATTAAACAAAGATTTATGTAATAACAAACCCATAACATTGGAATGCATTGAAGGTAAATACATAATTTTAAAATATATTATGTAGTATGTGTGTTTCAGTGTTTGTATTTGTATTTTATTTTTATTTTATAGAAAAAGAAAAGTACTTATTTTTGGACAATGATCCTGCTCAGTTTTGTTTGATAAAAGATCTTTCATATGAATTGATATCAAAAATTTTGGAGTTAGGTCCTTGCCAACCATAACTCGAAGAACTTCCTGAACAATGTTATCCAAAAAGAAAAGGCCATAGATTTATTCCAAGCTTATACAAAAAGAAATTACCAGATGGGTCAGTCATTAAAAGAGATTGGTTGTCATATTCTAAATCAAATATGCGAATGTTTTGTTTAAGTTGTATGTTATTTCCTGGAAAAGGCAAAGAAACCCCAAATAAAGCTTGGATTCTAAATGGTTTTGAAAATTGGTCAACGTGTTCTCTCAGTATTACTGGTCATGAGGTGTCATCAGCTCATGTTTTTTCATCAATAAAACAAAAAATTAGACAATCTTCCTTACCGCTTATACCTTCACTTACATCTAAAAAAAAAGAAGAAGTATTTATGAACCGTGAAATAATCAAAACACTAATTGATATTACCTTATACTTGGGACGTCATAACATAGCATTTAGAGGCCATAAAGAAGATCGGCAAAGCACTTTAAAAGGGAATTTTAGAGATTTATGTTCTCTTCTTTCAAAATATTCTCCTACACTGTCAAATTATATTGGTCAATTGGAAGAAATGGGATTAAATAAACGTCCTCAGTATTCATTTATCACATGTCATAGACAAAATGATTTGATAAATTCAATATCAAAGTTTATACAATTGAAAATTGTCAATGCCATTAAGAAATCAAAGTTTTTTAGTATTTCTATTGACTCAACCTTTGACTTATCCCACAAAGAGCAAGTTTCCTTTATATTTAGATATATAGATGAAGATACTTTAGAAATAAATGAACGTCTTCTAAGTTTAAGAGATACACCAAAAACGACTGGAAAAAATCTTTTTGATATATTTAAAGAAGTTTGTAAAACTCATTGTCTTGACTGGACTAACTATCTTATTGGACAATCCTATGATGGTGCATCAAATATGAGAGGTCAATACAATGGCATTCAAAGCTTAATTATTCAAGAAAATCCACTAGCAATATTTGTTTGGTGCTGTAGTCATCGACTCAATCTTGTTGTCTCAGATTGTACAAGCATTTGTACAAATGCTATGGATTTATTTGGAAACCTTGAGAGATTATATGACTTCATTTCTTGTAGTAAAATACGTAGTTCATTATATGAAAATAATTTGAAAAAGTTGTATCCGGGTGAGCAAGTACGTAGATTGAAGAGAGTGTCCACTACAAGATGGATGTCACATAAAGCAGCTTTGGATAACGTTTTAAAAACTTTTTCAGCTATTATTGAAACATTAGAAATGATGTGCGATAGTGAAGTTACATGTGATAATAAGTCAAGATCAGAAGCTAATGGATTTTTGAGTTATTTACTATCAAAGAGATTTGTTTATACAGCATACTGCTTTAAAACAGTTTTAACCATTTTAGAACCGGTATCAAAAATTTTACAAAAAAAAGACTATGATATTCTTTCAGCAACACTTTTATTACAAAGCAAGTATGAAGAATTGATCCAACTACGTACAGATGAAGCTTTGAAAAAGATAATAAGTAATGCAGATGAATTTATTGAAAATACTAGTTTGGAATTTTCATCTTTAGTAGAAGGACGAGTTAGAAGAAAAAAAGTGATGTGTGGAGAAACAAGTCGGGATGAGCCACTGGTATGTTCTAATACAAATTTCCGTGTTAATACCTTTTTTGTAGTTATTGATCGAGTAACTTCTGAACTAAATCGACGGTTTTTTGATCAAAGTGAAAATAATGTACAACAAATTGGTGTTTATAAAGATATTGCACTCATGACTAAAAAACGAATTAAAGAAGTTCAATTAGATTCCAACAGACTTCCTAATGATGCGTTTATAGCATTTTGTGGTGTGTATGGAAAGTATTTGAAAATTGATGAACTTAAATCAGAGTACTTGACATTCACTAAATGCATTGATGCTTTTTTAAAAACAAATGAACTCCCAACCAGTTTCCATGATCATCAAAATAATGATATCAGTGATGATAGTAACAGTGATAGTTGTCAAGAAAATGAAAATATAGATGATGCTGGTAATGAAAACCTCGGGAGTTTAATACCAATATTTAGGTTAGTTTTATACTTAAAAGGTTGGTCTCATTAACTACCTTGAAATTAATCAATCTAATTATATCTTTAAATTATGTTTTTATTTATTTTTTAGAATGTTCATGAAAAATAATCTTGTTGGTATATTTCCTAATATATACATATTTTTAAAAATATCATTGACATTACCAGTGGGAAGCGTTTCTACAGAGAGAAGTTTCTCTAAATTAAAATTAATTAAAAGTAGACTACGTTCTACTATGACAAATGATAGGCTAGAAAGCCTAATGACTATATCTTGCGAATATGATATTAATATTGATTATGAAGAAGTGCTCAATTTATTTAGTCAAACTAGTCCTTTATTGTTTAAAATATTAAATTATTAATTTTTCATCTCTTACGAATATAATTAATCATTTATTGTATTTTTAATTTACATATTTAGTATTTTTGGAATAATCAACCACAAGTTTTTAAAAATGAATAATATTCTGTGTTTTATATAATAATGTGTAGACACTGTACACTGTAGAATGTAAGAACATTTTGTTTGTTGTAAATTGTGAATATGATATTTTTAAAATATTGTTAAAAAAAAAAAAATGTTTTGATTATTTTATATGTTTAATATTTCAATTAAACTTAATTTTTTATTGCTAACTGTTTAGTGTCTTAAATTAAATATGTATATATTAAATATATACATCAATATATGTGTGAATTATGTATACAATTTGAATGGTTGTAATCTACTCTATGATGCCAAATACTTGAAACTCTTATATTTTTTAACGTCAATAGAAAAATTGTAAGAGTAGTTATTCTATTTAAATTATTTTAATTGTATAAGTCCAATACTATTAAATTAGTTTTTGTGTGTTTATGTAAATACCCTAGAACCCTTTACTTTAATAATTGGTTTTTTATAAAAAAAAAAAACAGTAATAGGTAAGCAAAAACAATGCTTGAATTTATATTTAGATGGTAGCTGGCCCAACCCTTTGGGCTGTGACCTGTGGGTGGGTGTCCATTTTTTGGCATTGCATGGCCTTCTAAACTTCCTATATACGCCACTGTATTGAATGTTATTTAAAATAGATTTCCAACATCATAACCTAATGTGATTGGATGAAGGAAGATTCTATATAACAGGTAACAGCACGTTTAAGAACAATTGCCAATTATTGGAATAGAAAACAGTTAAAAACAGTCATTCTTTGTTAGAATTTTGAAAAACACTTGCCTGCTATAAGTGTCCAAAAATTAAACATGAAACTCAAAGATAAATATTCATTTTCAAAACCTTGTCCCGTCAATACTCACATAATATACTTGTGAATCGACTACAAACATTATCAAAGCCAAATACCTATCGCTGAAGTTAAATGGATGCTCACAGCTGTCCTTAATATGAACTAAAGTCTTCGAAAACCTAAAAAAAAGATGGGCAAGTGGTTTTAGTTCAATGATATAACATCATTCTATACGAAATACGAATACGATAAATGAGACGATCTGTCAGTCAGCCAATATTATAATAATAATACAGTATTTATAAATTACGGCAACATAACTAAAATCGTTAAGAATCTTTGTTTCTCTTAATTTATTCAACGATTTTAAAAACTACTATGAATTTTCTATTATTTTGACTCGGAGAAATGTTTATCGGCAGAAAAAATACACATTCACATCTTTGTAAAGTCAATAAATCACTACTCTGGTCCTTCCAGAATCTAAAACTTTATTTTTCATAAAGTTTATTTGATTGTTATTATATTTCAAAAACAATTTATTTTTACAATTATTGTTTGTTTATATTTCTTAAGAATTAATGTGCATGCATTTATCTTCGCTAAATTCGACTTTAATCTTTATATACCAAACCTATATTAGATTCATCATCATTTTTTTTTGTTCCGTATCTTGTCGACATTTTGCGAGACTTAAAATTTAAGAGGACATCACTATTGTCTCCCCCTTACAAACATCTAACAAAGTAAATTTGTGTTTATCAGAACCAATTTTGTATTGTTACTTTGTTACCTTTAGTATTTAGAGTCAATTGTTGTATTCTTGAATTTGAAGTTAACATTATCTGTGTTTGTATTTTAGTACGTTGTTTTTTACAATATTTACATGTTTAAGCTAGTTATAATCATTTTTAAATATTCCATAACAACATTTAAATGAGTAATAATTATTATAATGACCTTACCTTCAAGTTAGATTATAGGTCAATGCAGTCTAATATTTAAGTTAACAACACAACTGCTGAATACAAATTGTGTATGATGTTTTATGTTTGTAAGACAGTGACAACAGTGTTATGAGTCTCATATGCGACTATTTAAGTTATTTAAGATGGATACAGCCCTGGACCTTCGGATTTTTTGCCAATATAATATTGAATATTGAACATTATATATTATAGGTATCATCCAATAATATGCTGCATAAAAACATGAAAGTACTGTGGTATTTTAGTATTATATCTGTATTATAATTAATAAAATATATCTATAATACCTCCCGGAGATTACATTATTCTATTATTATTATTATTATCATTATTATTATTATTATTATTATTATTATTATTACCTATTGTACTGGCACTTTTTATTTATTACCTATTCTAATTTATAGTTATTTTTTGGCACAATATTAAATTATGAAATACGTAAAATATACGAAGAATAAAACTAAATAAGTTAAGTATACCTATATGATAATGCTTTTTCTGTATATTAATGATTTAATACTCAGTTATAGTTATTATTTAATGCTTGTTCAATAAACAATCCGTAAATCATACATTTATACCATAACCTTTATTCTAAAGTTATGTATTAAAATGTACAAAGTATAATTAATATAATATATATACCTAACCTATCTCCAAGTTTCTATTTAAATTAATTGAACAGTTTTAAAATTTTAGAAATAAAATTTTAATCTATTTTGATTACAAATAACATTATGTACGAGTTATTATTATTATTATTATTATTTGTAAATTAGAAAACTGGAGAAGACACTCTGCTGTATAGTAGGTTTAAAACGTTCCTGGTAATACAGTGGGTCAGTAGGTCACCAATGGATGTGTTCAATTTGAACTCAATAATGAATACTGAACAATAATGAATTTCACCCTCTATTTTTATGGATATTTTATCATTTATAGTTATTTAATACTCATATTGTAGTTCAATAATACGGTAAGAAGAACTAATTTTTTTCCAAAACACTGGTACTCGTATTATACAACAATTATTATCATAATACTATTATGTTATTGTTATTAACTTATAAGTTATAAGTTAATAAACTGGCTTAGATATAGTAGAGAGGTGTTAATAGATTCGTGACAAAGGCGTACTAATATAGTGAGAAGGATAACTTCCCGAATCCCAGCCACCAGACATCCCGGAATACTTTTTGATACCGACTTGACAATTATTCTGAAATGCCTTTTTTCATCAGTTTTAGTTTTAAAGATCATCGGTCTAAAATAGGTAAGCTCAAAATCTAAACATCATTAACTTGTTCAGCTTTAACTACGAAATGATGGCCATATTTTATGTTGCTTATACCTACTCTAAGGCCTAGATTAAATAACAAGCGTTATTTAATGTATGTTTATTTGAAACATCAGAACAATATCTTTAGATATTTTGTTAATAGTAACTTGCCACTCTCCGTTCGTGTAATATTCGAAATCAGATTATCAAATTATGCTGTATAATTGTATGTAATTTTAATTTGAAATTTGTAATACTCGTTCAACGAAATAATGAGTAGGTATTAATGTATTATTAATAGATAGACGATAAAAAACTCACCGTCAGCATCGCATGTATTATCTTTTTGTTGGTATTGTGCAGGGCCTTAAGTATTTACGATTTTCGGCTGAAAACGTTTGCAAATGAAGCAGTACTGCACTAAACATGCTGTATTGGAATAGTGCACCAGTTTGTGTATTTGTGTTACGACTTACAACTACCTTGTAACAGTATTGCGCACTTTTAACACAGCTGCTGTTGCTGCTGTAATCAGTCGGATAGGTACGATATTATTTATTATGTATATACCTATTGCAAATCGTTTACAAATAGCAATAGATAAATCATAGTTATAAAAATATTGTAATTAGTGTAAATTATTTTTATTACTTATTAGTATTTATTAGTTATGGGTTTTAATTTCAATTCAGGTAAAAATCATATATTGTTTTATTTTTGGATTTTTTTGTCACATTCTCATATATCTTTATATTTTCTTTTTTGTCAAATTAGAATTCCCGTACAAAGTCTGTTCGTGTGTGTATCTATGTTTATGAGTATTAACACGACCATAATGTAATATGTCGTATGTTTATAATATATATTATTTAATATTATATAATACAATATAGTATTACACCTACTTTGGTAGGTGATGGATACCTTATTATTTATATAATTATGTACTACAGTCTATAGGGAGACAACTCTTATGACCAATGTGCGCAATTAATAAGTAGAATATAAGGTCTATACCGGCTATACCTATAGCAAAATGTATATTGCAACATACCACATGCGAGTGTTTATTGCATGAATTATTGTAATATCTATTAATAGATATACAGGGAACAATACGAAATAATAAAATAATAAATACGTAGTAGGTAATAATTAATACATATTAATTAAATAATTTTAAAAATATGTAGGTACTTACCTAACTATTATTGTATTATCAAATAATAAATAATGATACCAATAAAGTAACAACTGTAATATATAATATTTATTGGTATATATTTTAAGTATTATATCTATTATCTATAATATTCACTATGTATTTAAATATTACTTAAAATAAAAAACACTTGGTTGAGTATGAATATTACAAATAAACTCGTTGTTTTTATTACATAGAACTTGCATACCCATTGTTATTAAATTATTATTGTGTACATATTTCTACGAAACTATATATTTATAGTATTCACAGTTCAAACTCACTATTGTGAAATATATTGTTTAATATTTTATATTTTATATGAAGCCCAGCTCGATTATTCGTCATTGTGTGAGGCATAGTCCAGCACAGTAGAGGGGTGGGACTGTGGGATTGATTTATACATTCAGTTTTCACTTATTTTCAATCAGACTGCTAGATGTGCATCAATAAAGTCCATGTACCTACAACCTATAACTAATATTTCTAAAAAATTAAGTTAAATTTTTTTATCGATTGTTTATTCTATACAATTGTAATAATATTATAACAAGCATATTTGTTTTATTAAATATGTTGTTAAGTCAAGGCCAAACGCGTTCACACACATTTTTCTAGTGAATTAAGGTCTAAGACATAACTTCATTTTCACATCAATACTTGATATTATATTATCTATACCTATAGTATTAATTTTTTAAGCAAATTTTAGGAATGTAGGTAAAATGTACCTGTAACATACGTATTATGATTAGTTAGGTAGATATTTTGTAAAAAGTATCTGAACTTTGAAGTGGTTTATGCTTAAAAGAACAATTTGTAAGTACACTTAAAATGTACTGAGTTAATTCCCGTCTTGATGATTTCATGTACACATGATGTATATTATGGACTATATGATAGGCACCTAATTATATTTTATCCTTCCCTTTCTATGTCATAAGTTAG